GTTAATACAATAAATGTTTGTCCATTCCAAGTAGCAGCTGGTGCAAAGAGGGGCTGAGGGGTAGTGAGGGGTACAGCGGGTTACAGAGAGGAAAAGTGGGGTTGAGAGGAGCAGTGGCATGGAGGGGAGCAGTGACATGGATGGGAGCAGTGGCTAGGATGAAGGGGAGCAGTTGCATGGAGGGGAGCAGTGGCTGGGATGAAGGGGAGCAGTGGCATGGAGGGGAGCAGTGGCTGGGATGGAGGGGAGCAGTGGTATGGAGAGAGCAATGGTATAGTGGAGTATAGTGAATGGAGGGGCGTAGTGGGATGGAGGGGAGCAGTGGCTGGGATGGAGGGGTGCAATGGATGGAGGGGAGCAGTGGATGGAAGGAAGTAGTGGGATAGACGGATCAGTGGCTGGGATGGAGAGGTGCAATGGATGGAGGGGTACAGTGGGATGGAGCGGTGCAGTGGGATGGAGAGGAGCAGTGGCTGGGATGAAGGGGTGCAATATATGGAGGGGAGCAGTGGGATAGAGGGAGCAGGGGATGGAGGGTACAGTAGTTTGGAGGGGTGTAGTGGGATGGAAAGGAGCAGTGGCTGGGATGGAGGGGAGTAGTTGCTGGGATGGAGGGGAGCAGTGGCTGGGATGGAAGGGTGCAATATATGGAGGGGAGCAGTGGGATAGAGGGAGCAGTGGCTGGAGGGGTACAGTAGTTTGGAGGGGTGTAGTGGGATGGAAAGGAGCAGTGGCTGAGATGGAGGGGAGCAGTGGCTGGAATGGAAGGGTGCAATGTATGAAGGGGAACAGTGGGATGGAGGGGTGCAGTTGATGGAGGAGTGCCAATGTAGTACATGAGGTAGACATGTTTCAGTGACCAAGCCTTTCACAAAACACAATTAGTTTAGAAGACAGGGGTGGCCACAGCACATACAGGACTCAGCCGGGAGACATAAGCCCATGACAGAGTTTGGGAACTCCTGTAGAGCACTCCACCTAGCTGAGTGTATCATGGGGTGCCTGAGGGCCAAATAGGGGTTAATATACCTATCCCATACCCTCTGTTTGCTTGACCACTAGCTGCTTTTGTTATTACTGTTTGCAATTTTTGTTAAGTTATAACTTTAGTTGATCGTTATTATATCTATGCCGGCTAATTTCCTACCGTGTCGGGGAAAGTTAAGGGAGGAGAGAGGGGTGTGAGTGTGCATGGGAGACAGCAGGAAAACTTGATGTTAGACCAAGGTGTATGACTGTGGTTGCCAAAAGGCCACTGACAGCCGAATCTTAAGCCTCCCTACATAGAGACCCTTCCCAGGGCAGGGACAGCTTAATGTGTTGAGGGGATCCTGAATGCACTTGATATGTGTCCGTTTGCAGCAGCAATACCCACAGCATGAAGCTTCAGGGCCAGGTTACTATGCACCTTCTATGGTATGAGTGAGCATATTGCGTGGTAGCCACGCAGGAGGAGAAATATATCTGAAAGGCCCGGAGCATGAGGGTAGTATGAATGGGGACGGTATATATATTCTATTGGTCCCCTTTTAGTTGCCGTTTTATATATGCCATGATTTACTGTGCTACAATGTGATATGATTTGTTTAGCTGTATTATCAAAAATCGAAGCATTCCACATCAAAAAAAATAAAAAATACAATTAGTTTTTTTCTTTTAATAAAAAACACCCATTCTAGGCTTTCACTTCATTCTGTCAGTCAGATATTTTCCAAACAGCAATGTAACAGTATAAAACATGCTGAGTTAATTTGCATCTACTGACCCCTGCTGGAAGAAATTGGGACTGATTGATTGAGTGCTATGGTATCGATTGATGAGTTATATTATAAATGTTTCATCATAAAAATCCCTGAACATGATGAGAATGGTCTCTTTATAAGATCCACCTATCTATCACATGTATAAGCCAATTTTACCTGCAGTACCGACTGTATTCTATCAATGCGTAAATTAAACACGGTATTGAAGACATTCACTAGGAACCAGGGCACACAGATAGGTCAATGGGGCAAGAAGAGGACCTAGGCCCAGGAAAAGGTCCATGGGTCAAAGCGAGAGCCAGGGCTCATGGAGTAATAAGAGGACCAGTGCCCATGGACTGGACCAGAGGGCAAGCAGAGGACCAGGGGGCAAAAAGAGCTTAAAACAGCTTCTGCAGATCTTTCTGCATCACAATCATACTGTGAAACCCATGTACTGGGGAAATCTGGGGAGAGCTGAGTAGATCTAGAGGGAGCTGAGAAGATCTAGGGAGAGCCAATGAGATGTGAGAAGATCTAGGGAGAGCTGGGGAGATCTAGGAAGAACTGATGAAATCTAGGGAGAGCTGAGTGGATCTGGGGAGATCTAAGGAGAGCTAAGTAGAACTGTGGAGATCTTGGGAGAGCTGAGTAAATCTGGGGAGATCTAGGAAGAACTGAGTAGATATAGGGAGAGCTCAGTAACTCTATGGAGATCTTGAAAGAGCTGAGTAGATCTGGGGAGATCATGGGAGAGCTGAGGAGATCTAGAGAGTGTTGAGGAGATATGGGGAGATCTATGGAGACCTGAGTAGATCTGGGGAGATCTAGGAAGAGCTGAGGAGATCTAGGGTGAGCTGAGTAAATCTGTGGAGATCTTGGGAGAGCTGACTAGCTCTGTGGAGATCTAGGGAGAGCTGATTAGATCTGAGGTATTCTAGGGAGAGCTGATGAGATCTTGGTAGAATTGATGAGATCTAGGGAGAGCTGAGAAGATCTAGGGTGAGTTGAGTTGATCTATGGAGAACTGAGTTGATTTTTGGGAGATATATGGAGAGCTGAGGAGATCTTGGAAGAACTAGAGAGAGCTGAAGAGATCTAGGGAGAGCTGATTAGATCTGTTGAGATCTGAGGAGACCTATGAAGAGCTGAAGAGATGTGGGAAGATTTAAAGATAACTTAACAGATTTGGGGAGATGTAGGGAGAGCTGAGTGGATCTGGGAAGATCTACTGAGAGCTAAGTAGATCCATGGAGATCTTGGGAGAGCTTAGTAGATCTGGGGAGATCTTGGAAGAGCTGAGGAGATCTAGAAAGAGCTGAATAATTCTGGGGAGATCTAGGGAGAGCTAAGTAGATTTGTGGAGATCTTGGGAGGGCTGAGTAGATCTGGGGAGATCTAGGAAGTGCTGAGGAGATCTAGAGAGAGCTGAGTAGATCTAGGGAGATCTCGGAAGAGCTGAGGAGATCTAAGAAATGTTGAGGAGATCTGGGGAGATCTTGGAAGAGCTGAGGAGATCTAGGAAATGTTGAGGAGATCTGGGGAGATCTATGGAGAGCTGAGGATATATATGGAGAACTGATGAGATCTAGGATGAGCTGAGCAAATCTGTGGAGATGTTTTGAGAGCTGACTAGATTTGGGGAGATCTAGGGAGAGCTGATTAGATCTGGGGTATTCTAGGTAGAGCTGATGAGATCTAGGTAGAAATGATGAGATATAGGGAGAGCTGAGAGGATCTGCGGAGGGTTGAGTTGATCTAGAGAGAGCTGAGTTGATAGTTGATTTGGGGAGATATATGGAGAGCTAAGGAGATCTTGGAAGAACTAGGGAGAGCTGAGGAGATCTAGGTAGATTTAGGGAGAACTGTGCACATATGGGGAGATCTAGGTAGAGCTGAGTAGATCTCAGGAAATCTGGGATAAGTGGAGGAAATATGTGAATAGCTAAGGAGATCTAGGGAGAAGTGAGAAGATCTGGGGAGACCTATAGCGAACTGGGAACTGAGGAAATCAGAGGAGATGTAGGGGCTATGGGGGTTTATGGAGAGCTGAGAACATATAGTGTTGTGTTGCTTTTGTACAGCCAAATTTGACATGGATCATTGCCTGTTGGAGGTGTGGATGGAGTGGACAGTGGCCGTAAAGAATACATATGGTCATTGCCAATGCAATGGTACAGAGTGTCAGTCACTTTCAAAAAACTTTATTGTTTTTTATAAGTACTAAAGCTCCCCCCCCTCCCTTTTTTTATTTTTTTAAGAAAACGAAATGGGGTACCTGGTTTTACCTTTAACTGGGTTTACCTTTAACCTCTAAATTCCTGACACAGGTACATAAATTCTTCCCCTGCTTTGTTCCTACTCATCCTGTGCACTGTTGGCTCCTCCAATTGCGCTATCCCATCGTCACTCATTCCCTCTTTTATTGCCCTGTTAATGGAACAAACACCTTACCGTATCCAGCCAGCTGCAGTGAACTCTCTTCTTGAATTTAGTGAATATAATTTTGTATTCTGCTTCTGCATCATTTGTAGAGAATTCTGTGGAGAGTGGGGTGCACCCAGAAGGCACAAAGTCCCCGAGTTTGGAGCCTGTTCTGAAAGGTACCCAACGTGTGAGTGTAACACATCGCTAGTCTTGCTTTTAACATTTATTTATTTACAGTATTGCACTATTGTATATGCTCTTCTTTTTTATATATATATATATATATGAGACTGTATTTCCCTTATTCAGACAAAAGGGGGTAAGTTCATTAAGTTTTTACTTCTGGTCTCCATGTAAGTGCTCTAGGGTTATTCTCCAGAACATTTTTTGTTGTTGTTAATTTATAGTCAATATTTTGGGGTTGTATCCCTAGAAAGAGACGGCAGAGAGCTCATGGGAGAACAAAGTTTGACACGTTCTATTGCACTCTGTTTACTTTTTGACACTCAAGTTGACACTCTCCCAATATTAATGCTCAGACGGACTAACTTGAGATAGTTTGTTATTTTTAATCATTTCGTTTTATTATTTTATTTTTGCACAATAATATAATGTACAGCAACAAAGGCTTGGTGTTTTCTTTTTGTCGTTTGTCTTTTTTTTTTAAACTTGTGTGTGTCATAGAAAATGCCTTTTGTCCCTTTTCTACAGAAATTGTTTAAATGCTTATTGGCCAATAGGTGTCGCCCCAGCTCTACTTCCAGGATGGTTGCTTAGTATTGGCCAGCCCTATACTGGGATCTAAATCCAACCTTAAAGAGACACTCTGGACCCCAATCACACTCCAGCTTACAGAAATACTTTATAAGTCAAGAGTGTGTCCTCTTTTCTTCATTTTACAAAAAGTGCAGATTTCAATAGAAATAAACACTTATCTAAATGAACCTGGTTACACCCCCTGGCTGTCAATCACACAATCAGTCCTGTTACTTCCTGGTTTGGTTATCTCAGTGGAGCTAAACTCAAGAGGCAAAAATTGCCCAGGGCACCTGCCTTGCAAAGACTTCTCATTGAGCTGCATTGAGAAGTCTTATTGGACAGCCACATTAAGTCTGGGTGGGGTTAGAAGGGGAGGGTTGCAAAGACTGCAGACAAGGGATCTGCATCTTCTGCAAGCTGTTTTTAGATATACCCCTATTGCAAGAATGCAGTAATATATGCATGTTTTTATATATACTATATTTACTAAACAGTGATTTTGTATTTATTATATATATGTCAAGAATACAACTGATACCACATGCACTATTAGTATCATACTTAGGAATAAGGGTAACGTCTAACCAGACCTTAGAGTGGCTGGACTTAACGTACCAGAGAATAGTTGAAATACTACCCGAGGTCAGGAACACAGAACGAAATACAGTTGCAAGTAATAGCCAATAGTCAGGGATACCAGAAGTCAGGGAAGTCAGAACGAAGCCAAAGTCAATAACCAAAGAAACACGACCAGGAACACACTCTCGGATAACCAGCAAAGGGAAACCACGAAAGGGCAATGAGTAGAAGAAATCAGTGAGTTTTAATATCCCTCTTGTGAATCCGATTGGGCGTATCTGGCCTTTGACCCCAAAACGTGCGCGCGCGTCCTCTGCGTGACGTCCGGGATGTCGCAAAAGCCCGGTTTTATGGCATAGCACTTCTCTTACCCCTGGAAAGGTGATTATTGTTGTGCTTAGCACATGGAGAGGATGTATACGTGACAATATACAGGGAGTGCAGAATTATTAGGCAAGTTGTATTTTTGAGGATTAATTTTATTATTGAACAACAACCATGTTCTCAATGAACCCAAAAAACTCATTATTATCAAAGCTGAATATTTTTGGAAGTAGTTTTTAGTTTGTTTTTAGTTATAGCTATGTTAGGGGGATATCTGTGTGTGCAGGTGACTATTACTGTGCATAATTATTAGGCAACTTAACAAAAACAAATATATACCCATTTCAATTATTTATTATTACCAGTGAAACCAATATAACATCTCAACATTCACAAATATACATTTCTGACATTCAAAAACAAAACAAAAACAAATCAGTGACCAATATAGCCACCTTTCTTTGCAAGGACACTCAAAAGCCTGCCATCCATGGATTCTGTCAGTGTTTTGATCTGTTCACCATCAACATTGCGTGCAGCAGCAACCACAGCCTCCCAGACACTGTTCAGAGAGGTGTACTGTTTTCCCTCCTTGTAAATCTCACATTTGATGATGGACCACAGGTTCTCAATGGGGTTCAGATCAGGTGAACAAGGAGGCCATGTCATTAGATTTTCTTCTTTTATACCCTTTCTTGCCAGCCACGCTGTGGAGTACTTGGACGCGTGTGATGGAGCATTGTCCTGCATGAAAATCATGTTTTTCTTGAAGGATGCAGACTTCTTCCTGTACCACTGCTTGAAGAAGGTGTCTTCCAGGAACTGGCAGTAGGACTGGGAGTTGAGCTTGACTCCATCCTCAACCCGAAAAGGCCCCACAAGCTCATCTTTGATGATACCAGCCCAAACCAGTACTCCACCTCCACCTTGCTGGCGTCTGAGTCGGACTGGAGCTCTCTGCCCTTTACCAATCCAGCCACGGGCCCATCCATCTGGCCCATCAAGACTCACTCTCATTTCATCAGTCCATAAAACCTTAGAAAAATCAGTCTTGAGATATTTCTTGGCCCAGTCTTGACGTTTCAGCTTGTGTGTCTTGTTCAGTGGTGGTCGTCTTTCAGCCTTTCTTACCTTGGCCATGTCTCTGAGTATTGCACACCTTGTGCTTTTGGGCACTCCAGTGATGTTGCAGCTCTAAAATATGGCCAAACTGGTGGCAAGTGGCATCGTGGCAGCTGCACGCTTGACTTTTCTCAGTTCATGGGCAGTTATTTTGCACCTTGGTTTTTCCACACGCTTCTTGCGACCCTGTTGACTATTTTGAATGAAACGCTTGTTTGTTCGATGATCACGCTTCAGAAGCTTTGCAATTTTAAGAGTGCTGCATCTCTCTGCAAGATATCTCACTATTTTTTACTTTTCTGAGCCTGTCAAGTCCTTCTTTTGACCCATTTTGCCAAAGGAAATAAGTTGCCTAATAATTATGCACACCTGATATAGGGTGTTGATGTCATTAGACCACACCCCTTCTCATTACAGAGATGCACATCACCTAATATGCTTAATTGGTAGTAGGCTTTCGAGCCTATACAGCTTGGAGTAAGACAACATGCATAAAGAGGATGATGTGGTCAAAATACTAATTTGCCTAATAATTCTGCACTCCCTGTATGTGTATATATATTTCGGCAGTGGAGTGCCTCTTTAAATCGTAACATGCTGTATAAATCCCATTGAGAAACCAAATCTTTGATTGAATTCAAACTATCACATGAAACAATATTTATAAACCCCACCTCTGCTGTGTTAACCCCTTAAGGACACATGACATGTGTGACATGTCATGATTCCCTTTTATTCCAGAAGTTTGGTCCTTAAGGGGTTAATCCCACACCTGCTGTATTAACCTGTCAGAATATTTATATCAACAGACATTTTGTGCTAAAAAGAAATTAAAAGTGTATATTGCCACGGCCATTCAGAACAAAGCAGACTCCATTTTGCTATCTTCAGGATAACAAAGACACATAATTTCCTTGATTTCTTCTTACTTTCAGTAACTAGCCACTTGCTTGAGTTGAGGAATGTATTACATAAACAAACTAAGATAAGCAATGAAGCAGGGGGATGGAACGCTCTGTCTAAAATGTTAATGGAATAGATGCATATCTAAACACAGACACTAGTGACAGAGAAGACTAAGTAATTGATTTTACTTTCTATGTTTTATAAGGTACCATTGTAAAATAAGGGGTGAAATTGAGTTTAGAACTGTCAATTTTACAAGTTACGACCAAAGTAGATGCCACAAAGACTGCCACAAACGCTTTGAACTGACAGCAAATCTAAGTTATGGTAGTCATTGTAGATAAGCCAAATGACGTCAAAATCGTCATCAGGAAAAGTTAACTCTCTCCTGGATAGGAAGGTTTCGTTAGACGAGACTGCCCTCTATGGATCAAATACCTAAATTGCGATCCTTAGATTGGACACACCTACGGCTTCCTATTGGGTTATCAACTAATGACGTACAGAGAGTCTGGCCCTTTAAAAGTTAGGACAAAGGGAAGACAGGGTAGTTGGAGTTGGAGAGAGACAGAGAGACGAATTGGAAGTTTGGGGATTCCAAGTCGGACATGCAGAGAGAGAGGCTCAAGAAACAACACTCTACCCTTAAACTCTCTCGGACATAAACTCTTTAATACTTTTTCTATCACTCACGCACCTCCATACAACCAATCAAGTTTCTGGGACTACCTACTCATCTGATGAGAATATCTACATAACTGGTAATGATGCTGGTTTCATTTAATTAATTAAAATTAATTAAAATTTACTAATAGCATGATATATGACTGGATAAATCACGGTCAGATTTCCATATTAAGAAATCTTAGTTAACTAAAAAATATATAGTTATAAACATTCCATTCTGCAGATGGAATTAAGAATAATTATATATTAATGTGATAGTATCACGTGTTAGCATACTGCTGTTTTTATCCAGGTGTATTGATTTGCTCTAATATAAGATAAGATATATTTTTAGACAAATTAAATTCTGCTTATAGAATCTGGTAGATTATTCTTATAGATGGTTCGAGGAAATGACTAATGAGCTGGTTTAAATGTTATTTTAATTGAAAATCACAGGAGAATAGGATACTATATGCCTAGGAGGATCTAGCCAGCATTGAAAGGGTTATCCAGTTGTTTTAACTGTGAGCCAGGGTTTTATGGCTCTTCGTTGTGAAAAGTTTTACTTTTTGTCTGTAAGGATACCCTCATAAATCTTAAGTGACAAAAATTACTGTTAGCCTTTGGAAAACGTGTATAGCCATTTCATTGTATTGCATACTATGTTATACTTAATATTCACTGATAGTACATGCTGCCTAATATTATTGTTAATTATTTGTTACAATAAAATAAAATCTATTTTTATAACAAATTGTGAATTATTGATGGAATACTTTTCACTTACATGATAAACAATCTCTAAGATCTAAGAGGATTGAAATAGTGGGCAATTCTCGATTGCTTAAAATTATCATCCCATAAATATCCCCACAAACCCCACGTCTTCTGAATGAAATCTTCAACCCATCGGATTAAACCCTGCACCTACAGCAATCCCCCCACTCTGAGCTGTATAATTAACCCCAAATATGGTACATTAAAGTGGCGCTGGCACTAATTACTGGATAACTGGTGTTATTTCTCTCTCAGTATTACCAAGGACACCAGGTAAACGGTAAAAGTGTGCCACAACCAGGGGCTTTACAGGACCTCATGCATGGCTACAGCCCATGTCAGCCCCCCTTAACCACAATACCGTTGATGACGGCAAATTATTGGTTAAAATAGACAGACTAGAAAAACAAACTGAAAATAAATGTGATTATTTATCCATAAGTCATGGTTTGGCAAATAAATCTTTGATATTTACTCAAACCCAGATGGCAGTATTCATTTTTATAGTAAACGTGTATTAATGGGAAACCTTAATTATCATTAAAATAAACAATGAATTATTGGGAAATGCAAATTGAATCACAAAACAGCTAAGCTGGAACCATAGCTGAATCTGAGGATTTGTCCAGTCTGGCGTAGTTATTCTGGCGTAACAATTCCCAGCTTAGTAAATCACTTTATAGAGAGCGAGAGTTCTATGGGGAAAGTTTTGTGTACGTTCAGATATTAAAAGGAACTGTCACTACTCTGGAATTTATAGCATTTAATAAAACATTGAAAATAGCCTAGAAATTTTGTTTTCCTTTTTTCATTAAATGCTGTGTTTCTTTTTACAATTAGAAGAAATTTAGCAATGATCCCACAATCCAGTTCAGACAAGGCACAGCCAGGGCACAATGCAAAGGAAGAGAAATAGTAACATTGTTTCATTTCTCCTCCTCTCTGTTGCTGACTAGCAGGTTTAATGGGTGGAGCGTAAAACAATGACTGAGAGGTTGCTAAGATGGAGGCGCCCAGTTGCAGTGAATATAGATGTGCATTTCTCATTTAATTTTAATTTTTTTTACACCTCACAACTACATATTTGTCATATCTAGGGATCAGCAAACTTAAGAATAAAAATCATGTGAATTGACAGTTTCCCTTTAATTAAGGAAATCCCGGGATCAATGCCGTCAGGTCCCTAAATAGATGTTTTAACAAATTTAAACACAGTTTAAGGAGATTTAACGTAATGAAGTTCAGATACAAGTAATCAGCAGAGAATGCAATGCCAAGAGGGTACAATGATATGGGAACTTCTATATTGTGCTAAAAGTTATTTTTTACAGCATATAAAAAGTAAATATAGCATTTTAATAATGTCTGCTTGAGGGGTATTTCCTATGGTGAAGGCACAAAGATTCCTGACTTGGCTCTCAATCTTGAGAGTTGAGAACTGGTGGCACCAATGACAGCAGAACAGCTGACACAGCCCTTGGGTCACCTAACCCCCAAGTGGTAATGAACAGATTGGGTTCTTAGATGGAGTTCTTTCTCCAGGACGGGAGTCCCCAGGACAGGAGTGATGCAGTTATTGTTTTATAAAGGGAAGGACTGTGAATAT